GCTAGGTACAGTTTCGAAAAGTTTTCGCCTTTTACAGAAAGAACCTGAATTTTTGGGCATTAGTGCAAAGAGATGCAACTTCAATGTGTACATGGGCTGACCGTTTAGGAGAGAAGCTCAGAATGTCAGGTTCCTTTCCAATAGCCGCAGCTTGATTCGGCATGGCCTTTATGACCAGCGCTAGGAAACCGACTCACTAAACAAACTGAATTTTCTGCAGTCTAGTAAATTCTAACTGGCATTAATCGACGCCATCAAAACAGCTCTTCTTAAATGCTTCCCTTTTCTTTGGCCTTTCTTCAACCGTTCCAAACATGACTTATCTAACGAAACATATTCTTTTACGATGGGTTCTAGTAGAGAGCGTCTCAATGCAAAACCCGACTACCAGTTTTGCTTTCAGCCCGCAAGGTCAGCAACCTACGAGCTGACTCAGTCGTTTTAACCTTCTCATACTAATCCGTTATTCAAGGCGAATTGACGGGCTTTGTAGTCGTCAAACAAAAATCATTAGTTACGCAAAATATCTGTTTCTTACTCAAGATGTATTTAGATTCAACAAAGAGCTTTTTTCTATCTTGATCCCGAAATATGTCTTCATTTTGAAGAAGGCTGTTGCATTAAAAGTGACAAAATTTCTTAGCATATAATCTAAACGATATATTGTGGACTATTTAATTCTAATAAATCAGCTTTATTTGACGGAGAAAATAATTGAATAGACAAAAGTTCGTGAATTCTACAGTTCCATTTTGATTAATCATTCATCATTAAACAGAGATTTTTATTCCAGAAAGTTAAATCCGCCTCTATAAATCACTTCTGGCAATTTAAATATGTTGTATTTTGTGCTATCTGGAGGTAGAAATCAGTTACATTTTGTTCTACAGACTGCAAAAAATAGTGAGCGATGTCGCCAGCGTGGAATTCCGTTGGCGTATTGGCGCCCTCCGCTCGTTTTCTGACGCTCTACTGACATTTACCTACTCCCATAGGAATTCCGGTTCCTGCTTAAAGTCCATTGTTGTCCTCGTGTATTACTAAGTACAAAAATGGCTCTAGTTTTATTCTTAAAAATCAGTTATGAACACTTTTGTACTGCACTGTTTTGCTGTCCTTTGAATCGCTCGGTATTCCTTTTGCCAACCTCCAACTTACATGTGTCTGTTGGCCATTAGTATCAGAGCAATTTCTTGAACGTTGTAGTAGATATTTACTTATTGGTTTTTGGTTAACTTTCATATCGGTCAGATAGATATTTGACTTTTGTGTTCATACCTGTATGCAAAGGTCATTGTGACAGAGGGTTTGCATATTAAAGTGAGCGTTGATAACTGTGAGAGTATAGGGATGTGTTGGATGACACCACATCATAATTACAGGAATCAGGTACGTTGAATTGTTTGCCTTCTTAAAAATCCACTTATTTCCCCTTGATTGCCGCATAGCGCAAACATTCTTGGTTTGGGTTTCATATACACCCGAATTTTAGCACCGCTGCACGAAATGACTTTATGTTTTAAATCAGTAAGTATTTTTTCGATGATTCAGATTTGAACTTTTGTATTGGTTAACTTACTTTGACTTACAGCTAAAATACAGCTTAAGCCTATACTGTATTCCAAATAACAAACTCTTATTCAGTGAGTGTTTCCTCTTCCACTGGTAGGCCTGCGAACATTTTTACTTTAAATAAATAATATTAGATTTGATAGGCAATGCGTACGCAACTGCACGAAGCGTCGGGGCTGACATCCAAACTTGATTGTAAATTAGTTCATGTAGACTTCACGCCAATTAAAATGGATAACTTTTCCTTTCAGGAGAGGCAGCCAAATTACTTTATCTTACTTCGGTCTCTACCAGGTTTCATGTAAACAAATAAGATTTTACTTGCAATCAAAGCAGGTTTAGCGTGTTCAGGGTATTCGAGATAAATGTGGCCTTTCCTTAGCTGACAAACTATATTTTTATAAACAGCGTTTAGTGAATGATTCCGCCTGCACGTTACATAATAATTTATTTATCAGATGTCTGGTACAGACCGCGTATTAAACGCTTGCATATTCCTTATTGTAGACTAGAGACAACGGAAAAGGTTAGCCTGAAATTTTACTTTGCGCAATGACATCGAACAAATGAAGCGGATTGCTTTACCTCAAAGATTTCCTATGTTTGTGAACAAGCCAAGCAAGGAAATTAGATTTCCCCATCCTAACCAGAAAAGAAGTCGAGTGAGATCACATGGAGTGTTTCGCTGAACGGCGCATGGAAACAAGAGCTATCACTAGTTAATTACTACCACATGGTGTTCTGGTTTTTTCCTAACAACCCCAGTAACTTGCATCCCTCTTGGGAGAAATAACGTATTCAATTAGCATGTTAACTAATCCTGCTTTTTGAGGAGGCTGACGAACGTACGCTAGTGCAAAACACCCTAAGGATCTTGTATGTCATTTAAAAAAGGTTTGTAACGCTGAACGTCTCTGCTCTCAACAAGCCCAGCAGTTTGCAAAGTCCTCCAGCACCGCCTTTTATATTTCTTTGCTGCTAATTCATTTTTTCATACTGACCTGGAAGGAAGTGTTTGATGCGTAGACAACCGTTAACGCATTTTAGTTAATAAAAATTATATTCGACCTGTTTAAATATGCGTTCAGACAGTTGATACTATTTATAATTAAGCACAAATATTGCTCGAATGTTTGACTTTTGCCGGAGCTGTTTTTCTAATTTAGATTTTTACGGAAGCCTCAAACAGATGACGATGAATCAATTACTTCTGTAAAATAATACACTATATCAAATATATGAAATATTGACATAACATTTATTGGCGCTGCTATATTTATTTAAGATCGCCCCACATGCTGGAAATAAATTAGCTGAAAACTAGCACGGCTGAACGCTTATACAATTATTAGATTTTGAAATGTGTACAAATAATAAGCTCCACTTGATTACCTATTCCTCAGTGTCCACTAATACACATTTAGAGTTTTGAAATGTGGAAAATAAGTCTTGATCTCGTAAACATGCTTTTTATGCATACGTATTCGTTGATATTTTCCCTCAGCAATGGACTTAGGCATAACACTTTTGTGTTGCCTCCGTTATAACTCTTCAGTCTTTGTTTTAACCATATGTTTTTATATGTAGGAAAGAATAACTTTCAACCTTGAGTGCAATCTAATATGACAGTGCTTATGGGAACAATGTTTCGGTAAACATTTCCCACCTTAGATCTTTTGGAGTTCCGGGTCATCGATTCCAATCCTGGTTAAAAGGTGGACATACTCGCTTACCTTGACTTAAGTTGTAAATTAAGCCCTACGACTAAAACAATGCATGCAATTAACCAAAACGTTTCACAACAGAAAGGCAGCCTTTTTAAGGTAAAATAATACCTTAAGCCAAAGTGTTGTTTTAGTTTTGAATTCCTCAGGTCGTGGATTTTTTCACAGCTAGAAACTAACAAGTAAAACATATTTTCCCTTTTCAAGGGGTAGATTATTTCTGTGCGTATAAGGCTTTTAGCGCTAATCTTATTGGTTAAATAATGGGCCATATTGTACTATGCACAAAGAATGTTCTGTGAAAATTTCATTAGTATATACCTTCGACAGGTGTTCAGAGAAAATGGCTACCCGCGCAATTTTTTCGACCGGTTCTTGCGCAAACGTGATGGCCAACAAAGTCGCACAGACCTTAGCAAT